TGATTGATCAGTTTTTCATGAACAAGCTCTTTTGTAATCTCAGGTTTATTTTAATATATGGGTCTGAATCCCACTAAGTATTGAAGTCATTTTTGCACCAATTTAAAAGTCAACTTTATTTAGAAGTCAATTTCCATGCTGTGTTTATTATAAATTTATTTTAATTTAATTAAATTGAATTGAATTGAATTTAATTTAATTTAATTTAATTTAATTTAATTTAATTTAATTTAATTTAATTTAATTTAATTTAATTTAATTTAATTTAATTTAATATTTAAAAGGAAAAAAAAAAAACTAGGGATGTCCTGATCAGGTTTTTTTGCCATCAAGTCTAAGTCTGAGTCATTTGATTTTGAGTATCTACCGATACCAAAACCTGATGTGATACTTTTATAATACATAAATAAATAATAAAGAAAAGTGGAGAAACAGATCCTGGATTTTCCTTATTTTTATTGAATTCACCACAACATTCAACAACTCTGTTAACAAACAGAGCACTTCTGTGAGGAAGCTTGAACAATCAAAGTAATTAATAGCATCAGTTCTACTCTTTTGGACATTAGTGCAACAGTAAATATAAAAACATAATCTAATAAAAAAACAAAAAGCACCTCAACTTAAAATACCCGGCATGTAGGCAATCCCAAGTTTACATATCTAACACTTTGCTATGGCAATGTAGTCGTCATCAACTTTATAATCGATAACCTCGAGACCGTAGACATACTCGCGATTTCCGTTTCAAGCTGCTTCCGTGGTCTACTTTGCTGGCATTTAACCTATAGCGTCTCTGCAACAAAGTAATGTCATGTCGCAACTGTTGCTGTTTCTGTGTGAAGCAAAGAAAGAGGTCTTACTCTGTGCCATCACATAACTATAGATATAAATAATATAATACATAAATATATATTCATATACATATATATTCTAGTCCTGATCGGGAGGTAACGTTTGATTCCAATCGTGTTTAAAACTGCGTGATTGGGCCCAATTTCCGATCACTTGATCGGATTTGGACATCTCCACCCATAACCCAAATCGCATACATTTACACTATTCTACGCTATTTTGTAGTACGAATAGTGTACATAGTGCTTTTACACTGAAATATTCTTTATATTCTAAAACAGTGTGCACTGAGGTTGGTTTATTTGACTTATTTTGTATTGTGAAAGCAAAATTCTCATACGTAAGTGATTATGCCACTTTCCACTTATCATTTATTCCACAACTGTCAAACATCGCCTAGGAAACAATTTTGTTTAGTTGGTACAAAAAAAGAAATACTATGCTGTTTAGTGTGTAAGTGCACAAGTGCGTAGTGTATAGTGTGCCATTTAGGACGCAGTGTGATACATTGCTAAACACACGCCTTTTAAAACAGACCACAAAACACTGACATTAGTGAGTGAGTTGTAGATATATCACTCACACTATCCTGAAATCACTAAAACCACAATAATGACACAGTCTCCAGCACCACCAGATGCCCCGGCCGCGCTTCAAGCCCAGGGCTAATAATGATGTGATCCACCGATGGCTAATGGAGCACAAGCACTGGCTGTCTTTGAGGCCTGTAATTGCAACGTAACCATGATAAATGTTCGTCCAGGTGTGTGGATGGAGCCACTGTTTCTGACACTTCCCAACATGCCGAACAGACAGAGGTCTTTACGTCTGCATTGCCTTCAGGCCTGAGCTTTTGTCTGTTCCCACTCAAACCACAGTCATCGCAGTTCAATCTGTCATCCTTTTGCCCTGAAAGGCAGAAGCACACCAGTTATTACAGTATCCATAGCAAAAAAAAGCAAAGGACGGTCCTTCACAAACATTGCTTCTTCTTTCATACTTCATCTATCCCAAGGAAAGTTCCAGACGTGAGCTGTAATTTGGTGTTTTATAAGCTAACCTGCAAAGAAGAAATAACAGGGGTTTGCTCCAACAGCTTCAGCTCATACTGAAGGGTTGTTTTACTTTCTAAGAATATGATGTTGGGATCTCAGTTGTTGTATTTTTTCAATTTGTAAGTAAATTTAAGATGTTTAAAGACATTTTTTATGCCAATCATAAGCATAAAAATTTAAATCGTAAAAACATTTTAAAAAGCAAATTGTAAAATATATATTAGTTTGTTTTGCTTCACGTTTTTATTTATTGTAGTTTTTTATCACTTTTGTTTTTATTTATCAGGAGTAAGATTTGTTTCAGATTTCAGGTTTTAGATGTGGTGTCAACATTGTCTAAAAAATATTTTATTTTATTTATTATTATTATAAATAAAATATTGTGTTCTTAAAACATATTCTTTTATTATTTACTATTTTTTTAACTTAGATTTGTTGTATTTTATTTATATTTAACTTTTTGATTATTTATAATCAGAGGGTTTAAAAAAATCTAAATACTAAAAAATCTGCCTTTAAGTTTTTTAAATGAGTGCTTAGCAAAGCTCTCATTGCTAATATAAAAAATATTGTAGGACATTTTTTAAATATATTTTGCCATTTTTTTACTTAGATTTGTTCTATTTTGTTTATGAAACAAAATATATTTACAGTATTAATATCTAATACACACCAAGAATCCTCTATTAAGCATTAGCAAATAGTTAATTCATTATCTGTTAAGCATTAGCTCTACAGTAATAGGCATTAGAAAACAGTTTATACAGCTACAAATGCTGTATTCTTGACATTTTTAATGAGCTCAATGACTGTATTTTCATACTTTATTCATTCATTCATTCATTCATTCATTCATTCGTTTGTTCATTCATTCATTCATTTTCTTTTCGGCTTAGTTCCTTTATTAAGCTTGGGTTGCCACAACAGAATGAACCTCCAATCCAGCATATGTTTTATGCAGCGGATGCCCTTCCAGCTGCAACCCATTTCTGGGAAACATCCATACACACTCATTTACACTCATGCACTACGGACAAATTAGCTTACCCAATTCACCTGTACTGAATGACTTTGGACTGTGGGGGAAACCGGAGTACCTGGAGAAAACCCACGCGAATGCAGGGAGAACATGCAAACTCCACAAAGAAACACCAACTGACCCAGCCGAGGCTTTAACCAGTGACCTTCTTTCTGTGAGGCGACAGCACTACCTATTGCGCCACTGCGTCGCCATTTTCATACTTTATTATTTATTAATTGTTCATTACTAAATTCAGTATTGCATTGTTTACAAACCATTTGTATTTAAGAGTAGTTGGTGGCTTTTAGAATCACTCAGGATGAGATAGTAAATGATTAATAAACTATTGAAATCAACATATTTTATTCAGGCATATATTAATAGTTGATTTGTAAGTTAAAAAATGCTTTATTAACTTAACTTCATCCACTTTTGTGATCTAAAGTGAGAACTATTTAAGCTTACTTAACAACTAAGACAACTACAAATTACTTATGACAATTTAAAGCTTTGTATCAAATGAACAATAAATAAAAAATTGTTCTTAAAAAAAAAAATAAAACTACTGTAAACTTTAATCATTGCCGAATAACAATAGTTTCAAAATACAATTAGAATTAAATACAATTTTAAAAGAAGAGGATAAAACAACAACAATGTAATAATTTAATAATATATTATGATACAACATTTCAAACGTATTTAGCGATGTATAAACTGTACAGCAATTTTATTTTAAATAAGACTGCACAGTTTACCAGAGATGGGTTGCGGCTGGAAGGGCATCCGCTGTGTAAAAACGTGCTGGATAAGTTGGTGGTTCATTCCGCTGTGGCGACCCCAGAATAATAAAGGAACTAAGCTGAAAAGAAAATGAATGAATGAACGAATAAGACTGCAAAGATTTATTTTTCATTTGTTTCATTTGCGTATCTTCAAATGAATTGACATGAATGAATTAGTTTATTTTCTTTTTTCCTTTTTTCTTTTTTCAGCTATATTTTAGAATCAAGCTGAGCATTTAATTGCCATTTAGAAGGGATTTATAAAGCATTAATAGACCTCTCTGTAGATTAGGTCACGAAACTGGATGTTGAGTTAATAAAGCATTTATTAACATACAAATAAACTATTAGTATATGCCTGAATAATAATAATTATATATATATATATATATATATATATATATATATATATATATATATATATATATATATATATATATGTGTGTGTGTGTGTGTGTGTGTGTGTGTGTGTATATGCTAATTTAAATAGTTTATTAATCATTTACTCATTCTGAATTATTTTAAAATAGCACCAACTATTCTTAAATAACTAATTTGTAAATAATGCAATGCTTAATTAATGAAAAAATTACCATTAACAAAGTATGGAAATGCAATCATTTAGCACATTATAAGTGTGCTTACAAGTCAAGAATACAGCATTTTTAGCTGTATTTATAAACTGCTTACTAATGTCTATTAATGTAGAGGTAATACTTAACAGACAATCAATAAACTATTTGCTAATGCTCATTAAATGATTTATTGTGTGTAGTTAATATAAAGTGTTACCCATTTACTGTATGTTGTAATAATATCATTTGTTTGTTTAATAATTTTTATTACTTATTCATTCATTCATTCATTCATTCATTCATTCATTTACTTTGGTTTTTACAAACATGACTTAGGTAAAAGACCAAAATTTACTTAAATGTCAAAAATAAAGACACACTGCAAAAATATTTTAAGTCCTGCTAATACCCACTGTTAATGTACCAAAAATCTATGACTCATTTTTACAGGAAGTTACCTTTTAAAACCTGCTGTTGTTATGTCCTCAATAAACAGCTTACAACCAGAACCACAGAGATTAAATCATTCAGTAGCAGCATTTAATCATCAATGAGGAATGCAGCCTTATTCCAGTAAACAGTAAACATAGAGGTCTTTTTGTGGCCATAAACACTCTTTATTAAGGCCCTGCATTTACAGTTCAAGCATTTGATGTGAACAGCCACTCATTTTTGTGTGTGTGTGTGTGTGTGCTGGCATCCTTCACAGGTGGTGGTTTCCCGCTTTGGCAAGACAGAGCCACATGTGGACTTCCGCTTGGACACGCTCCCTGTGTCTTCAGAAATGGCCCTGCTGTCTCCACAGCATCACAACGGCTCCTTATTGTTGATAACAGGAAACAAGGTGAACCTCAAGGCCATTCTTAACATGTCTGTAGAAAACAGCTCAAAGTATGTTCAAGAAAATCACTTGTAAATAGAGAGCAAAAGCATTAGCAATTTAAGGGACAGTTCATCCAGAAATGAAAATGTGTTAGTAATTTTATTCACCCACAGGCAGTCCAAAATGTTAGTGACATTTTTTTTCTAATGCATCACACTTTTTTCATGCACCACAAATCCAGTCATAAGTCATAAATAACCGTTAAGATGTATGCTCTATTAGGATATGACAATATTTGGCTAAAATACAACTATTTGAATACTATTTGAATTGTTTAACATAATTAGACAATTTTAAAGGCAGTTTTCTGAGTATTTAGATTTTTTTTACCCTCAAAAAAGCATCCAACAATGCACATTGCTAACTAATAATGAATTATTTATATTTCTTTTTAGGAATTGTACAAAATCTTCTAACGGAACATGATCTTTACTTAACACTAGAATTACTAGAATTAACATATCGGTCATTCTGACCATTCTTAAAGACGTCATATTGTCACATCTAGGGATGTAATGATTTACCGTGAGCTGGTAGAAAAAACATTAAAATATGCAATGATTCAAACCGGTAAAAACTGTTGAACGAATTGTGATACATTTTTTGAACAGAGAGGGCGCTGTGTTTACAGGTGCAAACTCATTTTAACTTAAGCGGAGAGTAAGATGTGGAGCAGCAGAGTAAAATGACAACGGTGAAGTCCGACAAAACAAACTGTGTGCAAACTGTGTGCAAATACGTCAAAAAGACGTTTACTTACAATAACAGAACAACAAATGTCACAGATGTCTATATGCAAAAAAAAAAAACTATTAATAACTATTAATACTACTATTTAATAACATTAAAACTATTACAAGCAAAACCACACTGACCAGATCATTCACAGCTGATGATTTACAGAACCAGGTATTAAATTCTTTTTACTCTTTCCTTTCCAAATTAGTTTTCAATAATTTATTTTTAGGGGGTTTTCACATTTAATGTGCTACACTCTCAGAAAAAAAGGTACAATGAGGGTACAATTTTGTTCCTAGAGGGAACAAAATATAAAATTGTACCTTTAAAGGTCCCATATTGGTCCTTAGGGTACAATTTTGTACCCAAATGGGCTATAAAGGTACAAATGTCCAGATTTAGGTTTGAAAGGTACATTTTTGTACCTTTTATAGCACATTTGGATACAAAATTGTACCGTAAAGCACCAATTTGGCACCTTTAAAGGTACAATTATATATTTTGTTTGCCTATAGGAACAAAATTGTACCCTCAGCTCATGATAAGATCAAGACACTATATAACACTAATTTAAATGTATTAATACTAAACATTAATACTAAAATACATAATTTAAAAATATAATAAATAAATAAATTGATTGAATTAAATATTTTAATATTAAATAATTTTTTCATGTATTTAAATTACATTTTTTTCTCAAAAATGTTAATAATTTAATTTATAATAGAATGTAATTTTAATAATTAAAAACGTAAATACTGGTCTTTGCTTACTGTTTAAGACCCTATAGTATATGGGATGTGGAATAAGAACCATGCAGAGTGACAGCATCTTCATACAGGTGGTGATGTTGCTGTCTCTTTAAGAATTTGGCTTGTTGAGACGTTATAGTAGTGTTTGTTACTGAGGCGGTCCGTCGAGTATGCTGGCTGTTTACACAGAACTTCGCACGCTCTTCAAAGAAAAGTCTATTTTGGAGTCCACACTTTTCAGGTAAGAATGTATTAAAGATGTATTTTCATTCTCATTTTTACATGTGAAGCCGTGTTCTGTTGATTTTGTCTGACTCTCCGGTCTCGGCTTTCCCCCGCTTTAAGTGCTCCGGGCTGACCTGCAGGATGGAGTTTGCTAAGATGTCTGCAGCTTATTAAAGAAGTTAATACAATGTGATATCGAAGTCACCGAGGGACATAACGTTATAGACGGTGAGTACTATATGCTGTTTGTTTTCTCGGTGTAAAAGTTCCCTTTATCGCCTACGTTACGTATTCGCGCCTTATATCTTACGTTACGTTACTGCTTTATTAATAAGTCTTGCCACGGCGGAATATAATCGCAACCAAAATAGCAAAATACACTCGGGCCAGTTGCGGCGGCAGAAGCGAGCCGAAACTGCTGTATCCGTGCACCGGAATCAAGCCGTGACCCGTGAGTAATGTGTTGTGTGGCCCGGAGCTCGCGCGACTAAAGTTTTCATATACCTTGATATAAAACCTTTTGTTATTATTAATACTGGAGATTTGTAATTATCGATAATGTTTTATAATTTGAGGCCATTTTTCTAGCCACGGTTGACCGCTGAAATGTAATTTTAGACGGTTATATAAGTTACACCGCCATTTTGTGAAGAATAATCACAATTTTGTCACCGACAAAGCGACTGATTATGTAAACGTGGCTAGTTACAAACGTGGCGTGTGTGTAGGCTTGTTACATATCTTCGTTTCAGTGTCTAAGTTACATTAATGTTGAGGAGTGTCCACAAACTCTCATGTCCAGAATTGTTGGTGCTTTACTATCGTTTAACGTTATACTTATGTTAATGTAGAATTATTAACATACCATGTTGTATAAATCGACGTTTTAAGTTATACTTTGTTCTTTAATGTAATAATTTGTCTCATCTGTTCTGAAACTGGTACCTTGAGCTATTTTACCTATTTTATTAATATCTCAAAATAAGTAAATAGTTATTGCTTTATCTTATTGCTTTCCAGAAGTTTTTGAAGTTTCCAATTGTCTTTCAGGACAAGATTGAACAACAGAATGCAGCCTAACAGCATCAGGGCAACGAAGGCATGTCATATGAAAGCATGGCTCAGTTACAAGATGTAAGTATCTCTCATTATCTATACCATGGTTTTAATGGCTTACATACTATTTTAAATTTGTAGGTTTTTACCTACAAATAACAATAAATGTACACCCACATGTTTAAAATTATTTTCTAGGTTTTCATCGAAAGATGAGAGATCAACTGAAGAATGCTATGGTCCTGACTCTAAGGTACTCTTTCTAAACTTTCTCCACTTGATTAATATTATTAAATTCTAGCTTTGGATGGATTCATTCAAATTTGTTTGTATGCCACATCTTGTGTTCCAGGAATTGATTTTACAGCAGCACTTCTCATGTTGCCAGCCTTGTTAAGTGAGACACTTCAACATTTCGTTGTGCTCCGGTGAGTATGTTGTTTTCTGTTTAGTATATGCTGTGATAAATGCATTTTATAATGCTTGATATTCTTTATATTAGGATGACGCAGTGGGTAGTGCTGTCACCTTACAGCAAGAAGGTCGCTGGTTCGAGCCTCGGCTGGGTCAGTTGGCATTTGTGTGAGGAGTTTGCATATTCTTCCAGTGTTCGTGAAGGTTTCCTCCAAGTGCTCCGGTTTCCCCACAAGTATAAAGACATGCGCTATAGCTGAATTTGGTAAGCTTATTTGTCTGTAGTGTATAAATGTGTGTGTGAATAAGTGTGTCTGGATGTTTCGTAATACTGGGTTGCAGCTAGAAGGGCATCTGCTGCATAAAACATATACTGGATAAGTTGGTGGTTCATTCCACTGTGGCGACCCCAGATTAATAAAGGGACTAAGCCGAAAAGAAATTGAATGAATGAATGAAATTTATATTAGTCTTTTAATCTGTGATACTTTTTTTTTTTTTTAATCAGTGAATATTAATTATTTTACTTTCTATGCATTTTGATTTTCTCTTCATCAGTTATAGAGTGAGTGATATTAATGTAATTATTGCTTTGTCATTTACAGTGAATCATCTTCACCACATCCAACAGTTCAAGTACAGGAGGAGGCCACCGACTGGACAACTGTGTTAACAAGACGAGTCACGGCAGTCTTCAGAGTTGATGGGATTGCGATTGGCTGGGCTAATGATGTGGACGAATATACATTTTTGACATATCCATCTTATTAGAAGAACACCTTGATGTTTCTGCAGTGGAATGTTTTGAATGAACGGTGGACGGTGACGAGCCTCGATCTACTCCAGTTACCAGAGTGATCAACCTTGTTTTTTGTTTCTCTACATGCTCTTGGGATAATCACAATCAAGTTAATCCAGCACACTGCTCTCATTCATGCATAAAGCAAATTTTTAAATAACTTGTTGTCCTAATGACTATCAAAGAACATTTTCCAGATATGAGTGCTTTACATGTCATGTTTATCAAAAGCATAAACACATATTGTGTTACAACAAATTACAACTCCACTTGAGGATGATGAGGAGTAATCTACTGATGTTGAGGAAGAGGCTACTGATGTATTTGATTGTCTGCGCTGTTGAAGCAATTTATAGAGAAAGTTTGCCTTCATTCTGAAATACAGAGAAAATTTTGATGACAAATTATTTATTATGACAGAGTATTCTGACTAAAGACAAATACTTTGGACTTTATAAAGTGCAGATGATGTAGCCTGTGTAACGTGTTTATAAATCTTAAACAGTATTCTTGTGGTCTTTGTATTAAGTGTAGATTATTTAGTTTTTATTCGTTATCTAAATTGTTCTTTTTACTGTTTTACATGTCTGCTTTATACTTGCTGTGTAATTTTATTTTTTGACACATTCAGTTGTGAGTTGTAATGAAATATTTCTACATTAGTAAATAAAAATGGACATCTGTGAACCAAAATATTTTATTTATTTATTTGTGCATGCAGTCACCAAAAGATCAAAATGCCTGGGTCAGTACCCTGAAAATACTATATAATATAAAAAGGTACATTTTTGTACCTTCAGTGTCTAGGGTACAAAATTGTCCCTTAAAGGGTACAAATGTAGAAGGTACAATTTTGTACCTTTAAATAGAGGTACAAATTTGTACCCTTAAGGGTACCACCCCAGTGACGGGCCATTTGTACCCTAAAAGGTACAATTTTGTACCTTTTTTTCTGAGAGTGTAGGGCAGTGAAGGACAGACAGGAAAGCATTGGGAGAAGAGAGAGGGGAAGGATAGGCATAGGACCTCAAGCCAGGAATGGAACACTGGTTGCTGTGAGCACTTTGGTGCCATATGTCGGTGCTCTTAACCACTAGGCTATTGGTGCCGAAAGTTTATGCATATTTTAAAAATTTTTATTATTATTAAATATTTAAAGATGTTCAACATTATCTCTTTTTAAGTTTATTACACTGATACTTATACTAACTATTATACAGAAGTATTAATTATTCACCTTCATATTCATGTTCAACCTATAATGATTAATTTTATCATCAGCTTTTTGGATCTGGATCAGAGGGCCCTATTGGCCACCTCTGTACACACTGCTGTCTGGTTTAGGAAAGGCTTCCCTCTCTACACTAGCCATCTCAGTCCCCAGTGAAAAACTTTATTATCTCAGGGGACATTGTACATGTGCAAAGACCTTAGCTTATGCCTGAAAACATAGATCTGCTGATATTTCTTTTCAAAATGTAAAGTCCCAGCCCAGTCACAGTTTTAGTCTGTTTATATCAATGAGTCTACTTTGGTTTGTATTATTCTTTTTGTTTTTTAAATAACACTTTAGTTATGGCAGAAAATATATTATTTTGCAAAAAATGTTCAGCATTTAAGAAAAAATTGAAAGGGTTCTTCACCTTAAATTTGTTTCAAATAATGTTCGTATGGAATCGTAAGTCCGTTGAATCGTTACATCCCTAATTGCATCATATTTACATTCAAAGCTTCTTTTGAGATACTGTATATAATAAATTTAAGCTTTGAATGTATGTCATTATATGTAATAATTAATCACACAAAAATATTATCTTTTTGTTACTACAAAAATGTATAGTTTGGCTATATTAGACCACCCGTGAATGTCCGTCCACTTTCATTTTTACTTTTTCAAGAAAAAGTGGGAAAGGGCTTTTTCATAGCACTTAATATAATGTTTTGAAAGACATATAAGAAGTAAAGTTATGTTTTTTGAAAACAGGAAGTTGCTAGGCAACAGAGGCACGCATATTTAAAATCAAGGAAGAAAGTAGCAAACAGTTAAATGTATGCAGTAATTTTGACCGCTATGGTACAGTAGTTCTAGGTAGAAAGAATCAGAAGTCAGGGAATTAAGGATATGTGTGTTTTATTTCAACAGGTATTGAATTGCTATTTAGTTATTATGATTAAATATTAAAAACGGTCAAAATGACTTCCTCAGTAGTACTAGTGTTAATATTCTAATGTTTTTTTTTTGTTTTGTTTTTTTGCATAGAAGTAAAACTTCCTTAAAAATGTGCATAAAAGAAACAATTATTATTTATTGTGGCTCTGTATGATACACTAAGGTCATATAAAGCTAAATAGTTAGAAAACAAATAATTATAGACAGTCTGGATAATGATAAGGTTGCACAATGATGTTTTGCTTCATCAAGGTCCACAGGGAATCATTTAGTTTTGCCTGTTTATATATATTGTTTTTGACACTCAAAGTGCTAGCAGCTGTTTCATATTTTACCAACCCCAGTTTAAGCTAAAAACATTCTTTAAATGGGTCATGAACTGTCGTTTTTTTATAAGTAGAAAATGAGGCCTGAGGATGAGTGAATTAACAGCAAATGTTCGTTTTTTGAGTGAACTCTCCATGTTACAGTAAAACAAGGTGTTACTGTCACACAAAAATGTACTCAACACGTCGCATCATATAAATCCATAAGCTAAATGAATAAATGTAATTTGGAGTGTAATATGGTTTGTGAATGGCTCCAGGTCTCAAAGCTTCCTGTGATCGGGCCTGGATGTGAGCAGTTGTGGACTTGTAGCTCGTGTCTTCTTGCTCCGGGCTTCATGGGCTGTGGATGGTGCAGGACCAGCAACCTGTGCACCAGGGCCCCTCGATGCCCCCAGTCCCAATGGATCCAGGACTCCTGCCCCCTCCTCATCACCTCGGTAAAAAAGCCTGTCTTGTCACAAACAACATTACCATGGTTTTAAAGCAGCTAATAGCACATAACTAATAGAATAAGTGCTTTCTAAGTATGGAGAGCCCCTATGAAACTCTGACCTTCATTGATTTTGCCTGATTTGCAGTATTTTCAGGGATAAGCAGGGTTTTTTTAAGCAGGGATTTCGAGGTTGTTTTTAAAAGATGTAAATTGATTGTAGATATATCAGAAGGGATTCGTTGGCCATTCTGTGCCTCTTCTAGATTGATGTAAGAGCAGGCCGAACTATATTTGTATTTGTGTCAGATCTCTTTGCTTATGATAAGTGGTGCTCTGAACACTTAATTATTAACTTGGAGCCAAAATGAGCTTTTCGTGTGCCATGTGCTCAAAGCGACGCCATCTGCTTATCAATAAAGAACTAACCGAGCAGAAATCATGCAGAAAAGGAAAAGATTTTTATATAAGTTATAAATAAATTAAATATCATTTATTCATTAATTTTCTTTTCGGCTTAGTCCCTTTATTAACCTGGGGTTGCCACAGTGGAATGAGCTGCCAACTTATCCAGCACGTTTTTACATAGCGGATGCCCTTCCAGTCGCAACTTATCTCTGGGGAAATTAATTAAATATATGAAAACTAAACATATTTCTATTAATATTTGCATCAACGAACCGTGTTATTATAATGTGTATTATTAATTGTTTTTTATTAAAATGCCCTCAATATAAACAACTAAATGTAATAATTGTATTTGCTTAAGTAAATTTATGTATTATTACTTAATTTCATGTAATATTTAAAATCAACATTTACTTTATAGATTTACTTTATTTATTAGCTTTATTACAATAGTGTGATGTGGTTACAATGACAATAATTACTATTTTTACAAGGTAAATGTATTTGCTAAAAAACAAAATCTAAATAATAATGTTTAATTAAATGGGTAGATTTTTATTAATTGCCCAATGAATTCTTTATTGATCTATTTACATATTTAATCAATTGAATAAGCAAATGTATTTCACAAATGATATTTATTTATGTATTGTTATTTATTTATTATATTGTTATTGTTATTATATTGTTAATTAATTTTTTATTGTTGTTTTTTTTTTTCCTTTGTTGTAGTGAATAAATAAAGAGTTTAGATGCAAAAACCTCTAAGTGCCATCTGAAATTTTCAATAAAAATGGGCATTTTTTTCTCAGGCTCTTAGTGCAAAGAATAAGTTATTTTCATTGCCTTTACAGTGAAGCAACTGAACATAAACATAGGAGGCTGAGAAAATTGCACATTTTAGAGGAAATTTCAGTTGGCACTTAGAGGTTTTCGCACCTGATCTCTTCAAATGTACTTTATTTACTTACTAATTATTTTTTCAGATTTATTTGAATGTTTATTTGTTTATGTATTATTTAAATTATTATTATTATTATTATTATTATTATTATTATTATTATTATTATTATTATTATTATTATTATTATTATTATTGTTGGTATTATTATTATGGGTATTATTATTATTATTATTATTATTATTATTATTATTATTATTATTATTATTATTATTATTATTATTATTATTATTATTATTATTAAATAATTTAAAAAATATTTTAATATTTCCAATATGTCTGGGTATCTCAAGCTGCAAAGTATGTGAAGTATTTTACCACTAAACACAGAACACAATTCACCTTTAAGATCCTCACCCTCAGCTGGTGGCTCAAGCTTGAGGGCACTTTTAACACAAGAGTCTAAAGCACCGAAAAAAACAGGAAGGTTGTTTTGTTCTCTGTTTTTGTCTCCATCACCATTTACTGGAAGACCCCCTGCCATCAGAGTGCCCATACAACCAAAACAAATTATTGTCAGTGGCCATCAAACCTCATGAGCAGAGAAAGCGCTCAGCATAAAGACTCTCAGCTGGAGGATCGACACTGAAAATGAACTCACAGCTTCTTCCTTCTTTTTTCCTAGATCTCTCCTTCCTCCGCTCCACTCAGAGGTCAAACCAACATCACAATCTGTGGCAAAAACTTTGGCTTTAACAAAAAAGACAGATTTGATACCAAACTGATAGACGTGGTGGTTGCTGGAACGAAGTGTAAATTGGAAAGGAAGGACAGTAACAATAATCGGTAAGTAGATTAATAATCCAGGATTTCTGTAAGATCTTAAAAAAGAAATATTGAAATCAAAATTATAGGTCTTAAAAAGTTGTGCATTTGCAGACTAATTTTGATGATTTAAAAAAAATGAAATAATCATTTTATTATACACATTTTTATTCTGCTATTTAAACATTATGCAATGTTTTATGCAATATAATCATTTTAGGCCTTAAAGTCTTAAATTTGCAGAAGCAATAACAAAATTTGGACATTTTAAATTGAAGGATTTTAAGCATTTTAATTTTTTTTATTATATAATATTTTTGTTTATACTCTAGTGTTACGGAATTGTTTCGCTTGTTTCGAAATTACATTTTTGGCTTTATAATTTGAAGAAGCATTGAATAATTTGAAATAATTTAAGTTGAATGAGTTGAATTAATTTTAATTAAATGAATTTATTAATACATTATACATTATAATTAATACTTTTATTATCTAATATTTTTTTATTTCTTAGTGTTACAGAAGTATTTCACTAGTCCAGTTTAAGGATCATGTGATATTTGTCATATATTATCATAATATATAATATATATAATATATATCATAACATATGTACACATGTATTGTCGTAATTGTTATTTGAACATTATATGCAAATTATAAATTACATTCATTTATTCATTGATTTTTCTTCGGCTTAGTCTCTAATTCAGAGGTTGCCATGGTGGAATAAATCGGTAAATATTCCGGCATAAGTTTTACACAGCCGAAGCCCTTCCAGCCGCATTCCAGTATTGGAAAATACTCATACACACTCATTCACACACACACACTACAGCCAGATTAGTTTATTTAATTCACCTATAGCCCATGTTTTTGGACTGTGGGGGGAACCAGAGAACCCGGAGAAACCTGGAGTTAACACGATGGGAATATGCAAACTCCACACAGAAATTCCAACTGACCCAGCCGGGATTCGAACTAGCAACCTTCTTGCTGTAAGGTGACAGTGCTAACCACTGAGCCACCATGCCACCCTAAATTACATTTTAGGCTGAAAAAGTCTTAAATTCGCAGAAGCATTGAATCATTTTAAGCAGTCTAATTACATTTTTAAGAGTTTGCATTCTTTAATTCAAATTGTAATACATTTGGATTTTAATTGCATGATGTTGTATGTGTTATTTTTTTGTCTGCAATAATATTGTAAGTGTTATTTTGAAAATATATGATTTTACATTATCAAGTATGCAAAAAAACAAACATAAAAACGGAGCACAAAATCCACCACACATCCTGTGTTGTGTTCATTTATCCATGACAGGGCTAAATCACTTTCAAAATGCCATTTTAGAAAAAAACTCAAAAAGTTTAAGACATACTTGTAGTACAAATATAATCTTTTGTATTATGACCACAAATGAGATCAATGTTGTGCTATTGAGGTCTTAAATTTCATCCAGAGTGGTATTACAAAGTCTCCAATGCTTGACCCTTAATCAGAAAAAAACACTTGAATGTTTGCAAAATCCTGTAAATACAGCGTACACGTTCACATTCTCCACATATTGCAATCCTGCAGAACATTAAATTGGCTCGCTAAAGTGCTCTATTGTGCATCTCGGCCTCCCATGTCAAACCCTACTACCATTAAGACGCAGTTTTTGTGCCGCCGGACATACCACCCTACAGCCCTGCTATTGTGAGAGGCAAGGAGAAATTCCCTGGGAGAATAGCTCCTGTGTAGTTTCTGCCGAGTAGTACACTTATCATCAAATTAGCGTGGACTAATAGCCTGCTTACTCCACTGGTTCACAAGCGCGTCTTGTTCGCGGGAGATGTTTATGTCTTTATCTGTTGTATGTATGTGTGTGTGTGTGTCAGGTTGGTCTGTGGACTGGATCATGTGAACTGGTCCAGCGTGGACTCTGTGGTCACAGTGCGCAGTGGCAAGGAACAGGCCCAGAAAGATGGCTTCTCATTTGTGGTAAGAGTCATCACAAATCACAGTATAAACGCTTCAACACACTTTCCAGATATGCATTTTTGACTGCATTCCAGTACTGTGGTTTTGAAGGTGCACAAGGCACAAAGATGTTATTTCTATCTTTCTTTGTAGTCATTTGGACCTTGTGTACTTGCGCTGTGCGATTTTTAATTATCCTTAATAATTGTAGTAGGGCAGCGCAATATATAGTTTCAGCATCTACAGTATATCATAATGTTATCATTTTCAATAATCACATCACAGGATGTTCAATGTTGAGTTTGTATTATATTTATCATTCACATGTGTTTTTGAGGCCTGTGACTGTATAATGATTTTAAAAGCAGTCAGGCATAAGAATTTGTACCATTTGTAACATTAATAACGATAAATTTTATTGAATTTTTTATCTTTATTATTTTATAACTGTACTTAAATACTGTTAGACTTGATGAAAAATGATAAAACACAGTTTTTTTTACTTGTATCTTTATGGTATTTGTTTATTACATTTTATACAGATGCACTTCCACCGCAGAATCATCCCAAATCAATCTTAAATCATCATAGAAAAACTATGCATAAAATGTAATAAACAAATACAATAAAGATACCAATGAAAAAAACTGTGTTTTATCATTTTTCATCAAGTCTAACAGTATTTAAGTAAAGTAATAAAATAATTAAAAAAAATTCAATAAAATAAAATTTATCGTTAATGTGCTAGGTATGAGATATATATACATATATATCAATTGTCAATATATATTGCAGAATAACATTGCAATTTTTTTCCATATCACGAAGCCCTAGATTGTAGCATGTCAGTCTAAACAAATATGGCTCCCATGTCACACTGTAACATCTCACCTGTCAGAATGACAATACAGATGCATCAAACATGGAAGAAAACTCACTCTGAGTTTGACCTCATCCATCTGTGACCCTATCACTATCCTGCATTCTGAAATGATTCATCACAACAAGCATAAACAATGGGTAGCAGCAATTTTGCACACTGCATGCCTCAATAATGAAACCAGGAATAAATAAAACTGCTTGCCATTTCCCTGCGGTGACTTGCAGTTGTTGCATGGATTACGTCATCAGATTTGGCTCTTATTTTGGCTCTTGGTTTGACTCTCATCAGAGCTGTTTTCAGACTGCAGTAAAGTGTCTAAAATTTATTGACACTGCCAGAACTTCATAGGAAAGAAAATTGGATCACAACGGCCATTAAGCTGCTGTCTATATGAACATGGCAAACCAATGATCAATGATCACAGATTTTAGCCTAGGATTTCAAGAATCTTTTAGGATTTTTTGGGAGTTTGTCTCAGACAACCAAATCATGGCTGAATTCCCAAAGTGCAAGCATGGCTTTACATTGCAAAAAAGTTTTTTTTTTCTTCTTGTTTTTAGTCCAAATATCTAACAATTCTAAAATAAAAAAAGCATTTACTATGGTTTTTTTTTTTTTAAATAAAAAATATATTCTCTTGTTTTTTTTTTTTTTAGATATGATGTGTAAAAATTTTGTGACTTTTTCTTTATAATAAGAAAAATGATCTGCCGATTTCCAATTTCAAAGTGTATTTTTTATTTTAATGTTACTTACCTTGTTGGTTGATTATTTAACATGTTTTTAGTAAAAAAAATATTTAATTTTGACACATTATTTACAGAAACAAGACAATATTTTTTACTTCTCTAGAAAATGCTTCTTCATTTAAGAATTTTGCTATATTTTGACTAGAAATTTGAGATCAAACAATTTTGAATCCATATTTTAGGCCTTAAAGGTTTTACATTTACAGAAGCATTGAACAACTTTAAACAATTAAATTTTAAGCAGTTAATGAATTTTTAATATAATGTTTAATATAAATCTAGATTTTATTGTGTTGTTCTTTTTTTTTCCTATTCCAAATTAAGGAAATGAAATATTTATCATCTACAAGTGTCTTTTGAGCAATATCGGATCTGAAAATTTAGAAAATAATTTAGTTCTAAGGAAAATGTCTTCTAAGTTAGACAGATTTTTTTTTCTAAAAATAAAACATTATTTATTTTTACTAGAAAATACTTGTTGATTTAAAAGTATTTCGATATTTGGACTAGAAACAACACAAAAACTCTCTCAAGAACTTTTTTTGTGGTTATGTATTGCTCTAACTAGTGCCATTTTCTATCTATATTTAAAGTAAGTCACACCATTATCGGACATTACGATGTTACACATTTCATCTAGTATGCTTAAAAAAAACAGAAGCTGGACAATTTAGAGCAGGAGTTTATACTAATGAGATTGCAACTATAAATGGGACTACATACAATTAGAAAAAACTATTATGTGATTCCTGTCAAAGACTCTTATTGTGTGAATTAGTTTATTTATTGTTTCACGTGTATTCTTTGCTTTACTGACACAGTGTTTTATTTTTCTAGAATCCAGTTATCATAGAGATCTTCCCAGAGTTTGGACCTCAGTCTGGTGGGACAATGCTCACTATCAGCGGTTCATTCTTGGACAGTGGAAATGTGCAAACAGTCACAGTGGGGAACGCTACCTGTGTGCTGCAGAGGTTTGCATGTTTACAAATCCATCAAAGCTCTTCGTCCATTTAGGAATGCTTCAGAATTCAGTTTCTTTCATTTTTGTTCTTGAGAAAATAATAGTATTTATTATGAACATTCAATTTTAGAAATAATATCATATTCATTGTTCAACATATGGTGAACATATTAAAAAATGATATATGTGTATGTTTTATTTACTTTGTTTATTTTTATAGTTGTATAGTAATTTGTACATACTTTAGAAAAATACTGTTGAAAATACTCAAGCAATTAACTTTTTAATAATTCATAAACCCAGAGAGGCTGATTTGTTCACTCAAAATTGTCATTTACAAATAAAAGTCCTCTATTACGCATACAGTTCAAGCACAGTAGGTATCCATTTAAAGCATTTTCTTAGTGTTTCTGTGTGTTTGGCCTTCCTTTAGTGTTTCAGCCACAATGTTAACATGTCGTACACCACCTCAGCCCTCGCCATCCCAACACAAGGTACAGCTGCACATTGATGGAGTAATATTTGAAGCGCCTGTCAGCTACACCTACAACAAGAACCCACACATCTCCAGCGTCCAGCCCAAACATTCTTTCATCAGGTCAGCACTGCAGTCCACATGTGGTTAAAGCTGAGATTAAACGAAAAGAGCCCATAAGTGCAAATCAGCATTTTTCGTTCTTTTTTCCGCAGTGGAGGAAGCACGGTGACAGTGAATGGCTTCTACCTGCACTCAGCTCTTCAGCCTCAGATGGTTCTCACTGCTGCCACTGAGGGCAAACTCTTCCAAGTGGTGAGTCTATACAACCCACACAAACGGCTGAGACCTCACATGCATGTTAGTGTCATTAACCCCACTGAACAGACAAGCAGATCTGAGGAGGAATAAAGAAAGCAATGTTCCAGAACTGCACTTGTGAGAAGGAAATGGGAAAATCACACATTGTGGTCATGATATCATTATCACTTTTGGCTCACAATATGGATATAATGACAAAGTATATACATATAACTTACTTTTTTTTACTTTATATAGTTTTTTTTTTTATTTCAATTTCAACGCAGCAAATCAGATTATTAGAAAGATTTCTGAAGAATCATATCAATGGACTACTAACTCGAAAAAATGCATTTTAAAATCAAAGAAATTACAATTATTGAGGAGAGTTAAACTGTTTCAGGGTTCTACTGCTTTTGTTGTGTTTTGGAGACAAAAATAATAGTCTTTTTAAACAAAAGAGACTTCTTAAAAAAAAATAGAATTGCTCTAAAACCTTTACCTAGTGTACACTGTAAAGCTAAAAGTCACCCAAAAACTTAAAGGTAATTTTTGTAGGTTTAGTAGTTTATTTTGGCAAAAGTCTTGTCATCGATCACAGTTGTAAAAGCAACAAATAGTAACTTGACTTCTACAGTAGTGGATCAATTGGAAAAGTGGCAGAAGGTAAATTTTTCTGATGAATCATCCGTCGAACTGCATCTCAATCATCCCACATTCTACAGAAGACCTATTGGAACCTGCATGGATGCAAGATTCTCAGAGAAATCAGTCAAGTTTGGTGAAGTATAAATCATGGTTTAGGGTTACATTTAGTATGGGGGTGTGTGAGAGATCTGCAGAGTGGACGGCAGCATCAACAGCCTGAGGTATCAAGACATTTGTGCTGCCCATTACATTACAAACCACAGGAGAGGGCAAATTAGTCAGACCCTACTGTCTTAATTAAATACTTAAAAAATCAAGGCATGATCCTATTTTATTTTAGTAAAATTAGTATAATCTAGAGGGCCTTGACTTATTTAAGCCACTTCTGATGCTAAATGATCAACTAGAAGTCAAGTTATTATTTGTTGTTCCTAAAACCTGGATAGGCGTCAAGACCTTTGTCAGGTAGTGTACAACAAACATCATTTTTAATGTATATTACTTTTTTTTTTTAATTCAGAGTTTCTTTTGAATAAGATTTATTAAAATTTGCTGATTAGACAGTTAAGTAAAATATAAAAACATTTTTCATCAATTCAGATGAAAAAAGGTTTTCCATCTCCTCCATTTGTAAACATTGCAACAGCTCATCTTTTGAGAGCTGTGGTTGACCTGAACTGTTCCTCTCTCTGTGGGACCAGACACATTCTCATTTACATACAGTTTCCCCTTATCTGATTTATATGAGGGTGGTGTGTGTGTGTGTGTGTTTGTGTGTGTGTGTGTGTGTGTGTGTGTGTGTGTGTGTGTGTGTGTGTGTGTGTGGCAGTGCAGTGGTACAGTGAATGCGAACAAAGCTATCTAATCTTAAGCATACAAGTCTCGTCATAGTCCAAGACAGCGCCAATAATCACATACATCTTCTGATTATATCTTATTTTCATTCACTATCACAGTTTCCAAACTTTAAATATCAGGGCACTTATTGTAAGGTATATGCATATATATTTGGATGCAGCATGTGCAAAAAAATGTTACATTTACATATTTAATAGGTTTTGTAGAGATATATAAAAATATTGCTTAAGAGGGCTAATAATATTGACATTTTTTAGTAAAAAAAAAATTATAAAAACTGCTTTTATTCTAGCCAAAATAAAACAGATAAGACTTTTTCCAGAAGAAAGAATATTATAGGAAATACTGTGAAAATTTTCTTGCTCTGTTAAACATCATTTGGGAAATATTTGAAAAAGAAAAAAAATTCACATATAATTTCAACTATATCAACTATATTATCAACTATATTTTATCAATTTCTTTGGAGACTTACATTTGTTCATTTTTTTTTCAGAATTTTTTTAAGATATTGAAACTATACAGTGTGCATATTTTTTAGTCTGTACATATGTAGAGAAAAGCAGAGCAAATTTGAGTCTTGTGTTCTTTTAAAGGCATTAAGTACACAAAATGAGCAGATACGCCTGAAACACAGGCTATCCTTCCAAATGATTTAAGACGAATCTGCAGCTGTCTGCTTGTAAATTCTTCTCCATAAACACTGGGGTCGAGACAATACTCTTGTCCTAATTTGTGAAGCACAAGAGGTTTATTGTTTTTTTCCCCCTCACTTTTATTGGGGAGCATTGTGGTAGGACTCTTCCTGTCTTCTGTCAGCTTTTTTTCCTGAATCACATTGACCACGACTGGGTAACCTGAGTTGAGCTGTCATCTGTTACACTGAGGTTCGATCAGCGACGGCAGAAACAGAAATGCGGTCAGTAGCTCAGGTTTCTTGCGGGCTACAATCGCAGTCTAGCTGCTGACAGGCCTGAAATGAAAGAAAATCGGAGACTGATCTCCATTGGTTTCTTCCTTCCATCAGTTGCGTTTGCAATCATCACCAAATGAAGGAGCGCTAAGAAGCAAGTCGAATTGTGGTGGCTCAGAAAAAAAATGTCCGAAACCTCAAGAGCGTTCTTGAATATCTACTTCTGAGATCTCTGCTAAATCCGAGGATCAGCCAATCTCGCCTTTCCCACCAACATGAAAAGCATTTCTCACAGGCTGTAGCTTGTCGTTGTCGATTGGCAATGTCCACAATTAAGAGTGAACCTGAGAGGCTTTGTATTTGTTTAGGAGCATGGCATCTTTCTTGGCTAAGAGTTCTTGATGCTTCTAACCAAAAGGGGTCAGGTTCAAGTTTTGCTTTGTCCCGGTCCTGCCTTTGGGAAGTGAGGGGTGTTAACAGCACTCTAACATGCTCCAGACACCACAGTGGGGTTTCTAGCAAGAACAACACCTGTTTTTGGGATTCAAAGGGGGTCATTTTCATGCCGGATCCCTCTCGATATGCACTGAAATCTGCTTTTCTCATCTCAAGTATGTTCTTACTGACACCTTACTCCACTTTGCCTCATAATATCCAAAGTTCCTGTTTCGTCTTTATCTTTAAAACAGGGTTCCTTTAAAATGTTTTTCTAAATGTCTTGGATTCAGTTTGAACAAATAAAAGATAGTTTTTAATTTTTATCATTAATTAATTAATTAATTAATTAATTCATTCATTCATTCATTTCTTCATTTATTCATTCATTCATTCATTTTCCTTCGGTTTAACATAAAACAAAATTTTGATTTTTATTCCATACAACAGAATAAAATATGTTGTAGATGCTTGCATTAGTGGATATTTTACCCCCTCATCTTTTTAAATGAGCATCTGAAAGTAGTGAAGCATCAGCATTTCAAAATAAAAGTCTTGCACATTTTGGGTGCCCATAATCAGGGCCAGTCAGAATTTTCTTTTTTTTTATTTATTTATTTTTTTATTTGTGGTATTATGCAGAATGATTTGGAAAGAATAGGAGCTGTAACAGTTTTAAAATGTCCTAACTTTTATTTAAGGTTTACAATGCAAGTTCAATTAGAAGCACTTGTGTGGAAAGCAAATCAACAGTATCGTATGTCTCTCGTATAACAAACCCACTAAAAGACATATAATATTGCAAATTTTATAGTACACAAATCAACTAAACATCTGTGTATTATTCAATAATATAACTGGAATAAATATTTTTAAAATATATAAAAAATATTTGCAAATATTTTAATTTTCAATTTTTAAATCATTAGATTGTCAGCCTTAACAATTAGCAAATTTCTGCAGTTGCAGATCCCTTCTCATAATTAAAAATCCAGCATTTATTAAGCAGTATTATGATGACTTGAGTAACTTTAAACTCAGACCTTCAAACTCAGAAAACATCAGTGGCTTCTGTTTGCGTCACCAGTTGAGGAAGGAAAGCCTGAGAACTTTTACAGGAATGATCTCAATAATTGTTCATTGCCTTTCTTGAAATACATTATACCATCTGCAAACAATATCAGTCAGTGTCTGCTGGGTTCACACCAAATGTGGAATTATTTGTGAGAGTAAATTACACACAAAGTCAATGCAATTGCCCAAATAGAGGTGAATTATCACTGAATGACAAAATAGTTTAAGTAGAAAAACATCCCGTGGATAAACTAGAGCAGGTGATACCTCTGCATTTGGTTAAATACAAATATTTTAATCAAAGGAAATAAAGAGATGGTAAAATCCAACTAACACCTGTATATTAGTAATAAATCCCACCTTAACTCCCAACGAGTATATCTATTCCCCCAACACCAATTTAAAATATTTTCAGTGTCTCCCATCATCCTTTGGCTGCTTTCTTCAGCAGCTGTTATCCAACCCCCCTTTAAGCCCTTTGAGATACTTGATCCATTCTAAACAATTAAACTTTGTGTTTGTCGAGCAGCACACCAAGCCAAACTGCCTTACAAGTATTTGACTAGTCTCTGTAGAAGAGTCCTCGGATCTCTAAATATGCAAAAAGTTGCTATTCAAATATGCAAGATGTATAATTTGCATGGACTTCTTCAGAAATCATGGAAGAATGTGTGAGCTTTATTTATGCCCTCCATCTGGGATATTGCTCAATCGAGAGCATTGGATAAAGGCTTCATGGATGAATGTTTAACAATAGAGGAGAAGAAATGAACTGAATAAGTAAGATGACAACAATCCTTTTACGCAATCACCACGGATCAATGGGATTTCAAAGCTGTTTATCAATAGGAGCAGATCATTTCTGGAAAGTTCCCTTTGAAAAGCAGTTTCAAACATCAGAAATGTTTTGTGTAAATGAACCCACTCCAGAAGCTGTCATTGTTTTTGCTGTGCAATGTCTTTCCTATCCCCAAAAGATTTCAATAAATCATCAGAACACCAATAAAGATTTGGATTCAATTCTGGGTGAATTCTGTCACTCCAGTTCACACAAAACCCTCACTTCAAAACATGTAACTAATTTAAG